GTACGCCTTTTTGGCGACCCCCCTTCTGATAAAGTTACACAGAAACCTTTTGGGTTTTTTCTGACGCTTCTTCACGCGCTCAGCCTTATCTGTGTAATCTTGGTTTGTCTGAACCGTCAGCACAGCAGTAGCTGTTTCTGAGTGTTCAGCTTGCGATGACTCGTCATCGTTTGTGTGTGTGTTTACCCCCCCTTCTTCCGACGAGGGGTTGTTTGAGGCAACAACAGCAACGTCTTGGTGTGTTCCACCGACATCTGTAATGTTGTCATTCGCGCCCTCAGATGTAATAGGGATTACATTACTGCAAAGTGCTCCTGGTTGGGTTCCCGTGTCAGTGTGTTTCAAAGTTTCTAACAACCTGCGTATTTTCTCTGTCTCTTCCGAGCTCAGAGGTGTAGGGCCTTGTTTCTGGAACTTTTGTGATTTTTTCGCCTCGGTTCGTTTCGGCCGAGGTGGGGTACGGTCAGGCACGTCTTTCGGTGGTTCCTTTACGTACTGCCCCTGATGATATGGGTTCCCATATCTTTGCGTCCTACGCTCACCCCTTTTACAATAATCACGTTCATCCTCTGAAAGAGGAGCTTTTTTGTCCCAGCGCGCACCTTCAGGACGCGGTTTGTTAGTTTGAACAGACTGTTTTCTCTCAACTTTCTTAGGAGGAGGCGGCGAGGCACGCCGTCCTTCCAGTTCAAGAGGGAGGGGTTTAACCTTTACACTAGGAAACACTTCAATGGGCGTCTTAGCATGAGGGCATGCCTCAAACACATTCACAGCACACTGTCTAATCTCACTGATGGATTTTTCTCTGAAATTTGCCATCATTTGTACTGATCGCCTAAAATCAGTGTGGAGATTTTTGCTGAAAACAAACTTAAAACCTTCCTCTTCCTCCATTCCGGTTTCATTTCTGTTACCAAAATAAGCTTGGAAGATTATTTTGTAATAAACTCTTGGATGTTCAGTTTTACCCTGCGTGACCTTGTCTGCAGCTGGGAAACCAGCAGGTCCCGTGCAGGAGTCGTACTCTCTGATCAAAGCTTCACACAGAAGGTTGTAATCCCTTCTCGTTGCATCAGGTAGACGCTCGATGAAGGTGAACACCTCTCTGTCCGAAGTGAGCCGTATCAGACTGATTTTATCCTCAACCGTAGCATTAGGATAACCTCTCAATCTGAACTCAAGATCTCTGAGATACGCTTTTGTTCCAGATGAACCCATCGGTCCAGGTACAAAGCGTTGTACATATTTTGAGATTTTTTGCAAATCATCCATTGAAGGAGACAGTATCAACGGTCTCTCTTGTGTGGTTGGTGGTGCAAATTGGTGAAGGTCTGCCCCTACCACCCGAGATGGGGGTGGGGATGACGGAATGGTGTTAAAAGTAGGAGGTTCAAGTCGGTGCAGATCCATCCCTATCACCCGAGATGGGGGTGTTACAACGGGGCTAAGAGTAGGAGATGCAAGTCGGTGCAGACCCGTCCTTATCACCCGAGATTGGGGTGTTGGAACGGGGCTAAGAGGAGGAGGTGTAACAGCATCTGTCTGGGATGGTTGTGGCTGACCAGGACCCTGACCTTGTTCGTCCCTGAGTCCCAGACCAGCTCGCCCCACGTCAGAAATCTTGCTTGTTGCTGTGGCTAGATTCTCCTCACAAGCTTTCAGGCACTCCTGTGATGTCTGACATTCACCTTGTAAATTCCGACAATGTTGGAGCAATACCGCCTTTTCCTCTTTGCAATCCTCCAGCTCCTTTAATGCGAGCTGCAACTGTTGTTGTAGCACATCTTTGTCTAAACACGCGGCTTGGTACACACGGTCTTTATCCCTAATCCTCTCCTCATATGATTGAGCCTGTACTGACAGCTCAGTCTTTGAGAGGTCCCTATCAATCTGAAATTGTTCTTTCTCCAATGCAGACTCGTTCATCAATCCGTCACACCTCTCCTTTTCAGATTCATATCCTCTGGATAGCATGACATTTCGTGCAACCTGATGGTCCAATTCCGCTTTGAGAAGCAGGGAAATTTTTGCTAACCGTTCACGGCTCGATTTTGTATCCTCTGACACTTTAGCTCCTTTTGCCAAACTTTGCAGTACTTCATCTCTTTGATTGTCATCAAGGTCTTCTAATTGCCCTTATTGATTACCAATAATTGAATTTGTTAAAATATGTAAAGCCGTTTGGACGGCATCTTTGGAGTGCAAGAGGTCAGTGTTTACCTCTTCGTTCGCCATCATCCGCTATTAAAAATTTAAATAGGAGATGTAATTGTTTAGGTGGTAAAATAAAATCAGAAGAGTTTCTCTCTACTGATATATTTACTCTTATTTAGTGATTTAACAATTAAACGTGCATTATCTTTTAGCAAATGAGTAAACTTTATCAACTCTGTGAATATCTGTAACTGTATCTTTTTAAAAAGTTTCTAATTTTTCATTTTGTCCCTCCTGTTTGAGGAATTCAGTGAATGAAAAATGTCCTGGTAAATGCCTGTCTGCATAAATACCTTAATAACTTTTTAAATGCAAGATAACAGTGATTATTCCGTTTTGAGGAACGTTTATTAACTCAAAAATGCCTTTCAGAAAGAAAATACGTTTAATTTCACTAAAATAACCTAAAAAGCGAAGTGAAAACCTGTGATCTCAAGTCTCTCCAGAAGGTGGCAGCATAACCTTACTCATTTTAACTTAGACACTGTTAGTGTTATCCAGTAGGAGTCGCTATGACTTCCTGTGGCATCCGGTCGTTAGCTGTTAGCTTAAAATTAGCATCGGCTAGACTCGGTTAAAACCAACATTTCTGAACGGATTTTTTACTCAAACGTGGCAAAATTTTAGCAATTAGACTTCGAAGAACTAGCAGCTGATCAGAATACAGCTTTTAAAGTGTTTTTGAACTTTAAAAAGCAGATTTTATTCCCTATGAAAAACGAGTTTTCATTTCCGGGTCACGTGACTGAATCCACCAATGACAAAGCAGCACGGGGGTGAGAGGAAATGACGTAGGCACGTCATTCACTTCTCAGCGAATCAGAGCGCTCCACAGCAGCCAATTCAACCAATCACGCAGCGTTTTCCCCAGCTAGCATGTTAGATTTATCTGAACAAGTCCGTCAACTTTTTCGTCTTTTAAACTGTCAAAATGCACTTTTTTCTGTTAAAAATGTAATCAATAAGCTCCCAGCTGCACGGAGTCGGCGCCCCGGTCTCAAAAACGTCTTTCTAGCTATTTAAACAACTCGTTCGATCTTTCTCAGAACCGAGCCGGAACCAGAACCGAACCTCCGTCCGGACCACAGTTTAAACAGAGTAAAGCGTTTCCACACAAATCCAGCTTAGTTACACATAACAGACATACAATTTCAGCTATCATAAAGACATATGACTCACAATTTCAGCTTCAAAACATTGCCAGCGTAAACATGCAGAGTCAAGCTCCAAGCGCGCAGCTTCAGCTGCGTTCCAGCACAGCTGACAATCTGTTATTTCCTTTTCATGCCAACACGTAAAACCAATCTTTACACGAATACACAGTCCATTTATGAACACGTCACGGGCCACCAATATGTAGATGAACAGATGCTGCGATATATTCATCAATTAAAACGGATTCTTCATTTTTCTGGACTGAATAAAACGTGCATTGAATTTAATGAAATGTAACGTGAGACGTCATTTATCTTTGACCCATCAAAATGAATGTGGTCATTTATTTTACAGAATCAAAGTTTAACATCAAACATTTACATTAATTTGGCAAAATATGAAAATAACAACATCATTAATCAGCGAGCTGTACAATTATGATCAATTATCCACACGGCGGTGGATGAGAACTTTGCTTCAGACATTTCTAAAAATTATCTGTAATGATTTTAGCAGATAGGAGAGTTTAAAGATGGAAAGATGGAGTTTAAAGGAAGTAAAAGATGGTGTGTGAGGGGGAGTGTTGACCAGAACCGACACTCTCCATTCGAACCCAGCTTTTCCTCGGTACGCTTGGTAGTAAACTTGACTCATTACCTCTCTGAAGATGAATCAGCAGATATGGAGTTCCAGTTAACGCTACCTGTCCAGCTTCTCCATAGGATGGCTGTGACTCGTCCGAAGTAGTGACGAGATTCCGTCCGACACAAGCTCACCTCAGCAAGTGGACTTCACATGAGTGGAGTCCTTCAGAAGTTCCACTCAGAGGTGGAAGATGTTATAATCCAAACTCGGAAGAGCCTTTTCATGGCTGGACTTCTGTTCTCCCAAACGACTTCACAGAACTGCGAACATCTCAGAACTTCTCCGCCCCGAGAGAACTAGGAAGTACTGGCATTTTAAAGAGCTCTATTTCCGGTATATTTGAGCGTTCCTGATTGGTCAATATCAACCAGACAGGGGTGTGTTTTGTGATGTAAGAGGTTACTATAAGTCAGAAAACAGCAAGAATTGTTATGGAACAGATTAAAACTGTTCTCAGAGACAGAGAGAGTTTTGTTTTGACGAGTTTGGAGAAACAGGTGCCAACTTCTCTGTTGACGTCTGAGAGGATGTAAACAAGACAGTTGTTCCAACACATGTCTGCTTCGACTCCTGACCTTGGAAAACGCACACTTGCTCATTCAAAGACAGAAATCAGAAAATACATGATTACTCTGTAACAGGCCTTAACATGAATTCTAACTTTGCATGAGGATTAAAAAATCATTACACTGTTTCACAGTTAATAAAATTGATTAGTTCACTGCAACATCTAAAATGGTTTGAACTAAGACACTTTGATTATCAACATTTGTAAAATAGTAATGATAATAAAAAAGAGAGTGTTCTTTCACTTGATTTTCAAGAAAGAAAGTCTCAGGATGGGTGAACCTGTATTTCTGGATTCAAATCAATGAAATGACAGTTTCTGTCCCACAAGGTTCTTAAGGTCAAGGGTTTTGACCTTAGGCTTAGTTTTGACATCAGGTCAAGTTCACTACAAGTGTATCCTTCGAAGTCCATCCTACCCAAAGATGCATTGCGGGTGTAAGGAAAATTCTGGATGGACATAATGGCAGACTGAGCAACAGAATACACTTTTAAATGTAAGTATGTTAAAAGGTGGGATTAAAAATTAAAAGCCGAAATGGTTATGATTTAAAGCGGATGATGGGCTTTTGTCATTTGCGTAGATATTTTTTTGTATTATTTTTTGTCAGAGATCAGCTCGTACAGTGGGTCCCGTAGTAGTATCGCTGCTAAGCAAATTTTTATTTTTTTTAGGGAGCAAGGAGCAGATTGAAGATTTTATTAAGCTTCGGAATATAAATAGCCACCTTTTCACGGGTGCAAAACATTCAGCTGCTGTGGCATGGAGGTACAAGAATGAATCCATTTATTTATCTTATGCTTCTGAGTACAATTTCATTAACCCTCATAACCAACAATGTCCATGCATAACCTGAAGTATAGGGCCTCTTGTGTTGTGCTGTGAAAACTAGTTTTTCTAAGACATTATTTTCCATGTTTCCCCTCTTCATTCATTTTATGTTGATATTAGTAGGATAATTTTGGAGAAGATGGGCCTGCAGGGGAAGGTAACTCCTCTGCATGCAAAAAGAAATGGGACAACTTAAAAAAGAAATATAAAGTATGTACGTGTGTAATGAAGAATATAATTTTTACGTACAGCTGTTAATACATGTAAAGTAAAAAAAAAGAAGTTTGTTTCTCTTTTTGCCAACTTATTGTCTTATTTCCTCTGTTCAGGACTGCAAATATTCAGGCGTGTTAGGGGAAGGAGTTAGTGGGAAGCCCACTGCTGCAACTTGGCCCTGGCTTGTCCTCATGGATGAGGTTTTAGTTTAGGACAGAGACCTTCCTCTGTACCTCCTGTCCTATGAGACAGCAGGGGGGTGGGGGGGGGGGGGGGGGGGGGAAAAATGAAAGTAGGGACAGAATGGAGAGACTTTTTACAATTCACAAAAAAAAGCAAATAAATGAATTATTTGTTTGTTGTTTTTTTATGTTCTTGAAATTTTTTTGTTGTTTTAATTTTGAAAAAATAAAGTGATTACAAAAACCAGTAGTTGTCAAAAATTCATCTTATTAACAGTAAGTTCATTCAAAACAAAAGGCTCTGTGGCGTACCAGCCTTGCAAACCCAAGGGACACCACCTCCAGGTCTTCTGGGTTTTTATGGAGGTGGATGACCTGGTGGTGAATGGCCACCACCTCTTCTGTATGACGATGGACAATGCGGTAGACAGTAGAACGAGGCGTCCCAAACACTCCTAAGACCACCTTGCAGGATGCTCCACCTGCCAGCCAGAAAAGAAACACCAGGGTCTCAATTGTGGCCCCCCAACCATGTTGTCGATCCAGGTCCAGGAGATGAAGCAACACCGCCAGAGACTCCCTGCTTCATCGGAAATCTGGTCTAGGATCTTCTTGGTTAAAGTAACGGTTCAGGACTGGGACACTCAGGTTAATCATGCAGTACAAGAGTCTGGTCTGGTTAAGGAAATGTAGAAAACAACAAAAACATTATTAGTTTAAGATTTAATTTTGATAAGATATCAAAGCATTATCACAATTATGAGGCTTAATGTAAATATACTGATGCTCAGTGAAAACACTGTTTTACTAATTAAATAAAAGAAATGAAAGACCCTGTTTTTACCATTTTTTACAACTACATTATGTATCAATGGATTATATGAAATTAAATATAGGAAAATGTTATGCTGTTTTCTAAATTTAATATACTTTAATGATTATAATAAATTAATAGTACATTTATTAAATTATTATTGAAAGTTTGCAGACTTAAAAAAAAAAGTTACCTGGATATGATTGACTCAGCAGAAGATATAAAACATGCTGCAGGCGGCGGTAAAGTTCGTATTTCCTCTAGAATTAAAAAAGCGTAGACAAACTTAATAAAATTCGATCTCCATTCTTTCTTCGGCTGAGCGCTGTCACGGTTGCTAGGCGACAGGACATACGCTGACGTAACCCTGAAGGCTAGACTTGTCCCAATTCACAGCCGCTGACTTCCGGTCTATGTGGTCTTTTAAGGACCCGGCCTACCCCGTCGACGTAGGCCGGGTCCTTCGAAGGATGCAGCCGTTGGATTAGGACACAGGTATAGTAAGAGATCGGTGGCAACTTGTCAGCATTGTCTGACATAATTTCGTTCTCCACCTCATATGGGTCAACTCAGACCGCTCCTATTTTTTGCCGATATCTAGCTCTTGCGCCTTGGTCAAGAGTATCAATATACTTAGCTCTCGTCTGTCTGTTCGCCATCTTCCTCGAATGTGCCTCAACAAATGGCGGAAAACCTAGTATTGCGCAACACTGGTAACGTGTGTGGGAACTATTTATTCAGACTAACCCAGTGTGAAACATTCATATTCTGTTTATTCTTTCATCTCAACAACCTCCAATCCTCTCAGTGTCAGGGTTTTCTGGTCGGGGCGAACCCAGTAGTGCGGACAGGGACTCAACTCTGCAGACGTAAAAAATAGAAATTTAATGATAAATAATAAAATACAAAAATAACAGGCTGACGAGGCAGCACAACTTACAAATGGGATGAAGGCACGAGAAGCTCAGAGGGATACAGGAAACTCAGAAGACTCAGAAGACACAGGGACCCAACGAAGACGACGCGACAAAGAACAAGACTGAACAGACGACTTACATACAGGGACAAGACGAGACGTGATTACAAACAGCTGTGACGAGACAAGGGTGGCACCAATTGAACTAAAGAGAAAACACTAGGGAACACAGACACAAGCCGAGCCACCAAAATGGTACCATCCTTACACTCAGGACCTTCTTAATCAAACAAACAGTCATTATTCACAGGTGTAAAAATCCATCCATCCATTTTCTTCCGCTTATTCCGGGGTCGGGTCGTGGGGGGTAGGGAGGCCCAGACTTCCCTTTCCCCAGCCACTTGGTCCAGCTCCTTCGGGGGAATCCCAAGGCGTTCCCAGGCCAGCCGAGAAACATAGTCCCTCCAGCGTGTCCTGGGTCTTCCTCTGGGTCTCCTCCTAGTGGGAGGTGCCCGGAACACCTCACCAGGGAGGCATCCGAGAGGCATCCTAACCAGATGCCTGAGCCACCTCAACTGGCTCCTTTCGATGTGGAGAAGTAGCGGCTCTACTCTGAGTCCCTCCCGGATGACCGAGCTTCTCACCCTATCTCTAAGGGAGAGCCCAGACACCCTGCGGAGAAAACTCATTTTGGCCACCTGTATCCGTGATATCATTCTTTCGGTCACAACCCAAAGCTTATGACCATAGATGAGGATAGGAATGTAGACCGAACGGTAAATTGAGAGCTTCGCCTTTTGACTCAGCTCTCTCTTCACCACAACAGACCAATACAGCGCTGGCTTCACTGCAGATGCTGCACCTATCCGCCTATCGATCTCACGCTCCATTTTTCCCTCATTCGTGAACAAGACCCAGAGATACTTGAACACCTCCACCTGGGGCAGGACCTCCTCCCCGACCCGGAGAGGGCACTCTACCCTTTTCCGGCTCAAGACCATGGCCTCGGACTTGGAGGAACTGATCCTCATCCTGGCCGCGTCACATTCCGCTGCAAACCGCTCCAGCGAAAGCTGTAGCTCACGACATGAAGCCAATTGGACCACATCATCTGCAAAAACCAGAGAAGCAATCCTAAGGCCACCAAAACGGATCCCCTCAACACCTTGGCTGCTCCTAGAAATTATGTCCATAAAAACTATGAACAGAATCAATGACAAAGGACAACCTTGGCGGAGTCCAACTCTGACTGGTGATGAATAGACAGGCTGGGTGTGTTCACTGGACATGTTATACACTGTGTTTATTCTGTACTCTGTGTGTGTTCACTTTTCCATAGTTTTATATTTTTTACTTTATGCACATATCTATTTTTGTGTGTTATAAACTGTTAACACATATTTTATCACATAGAGGTGAAAAACTTGTTTTCTACAGCACTGAGCAGGAAGGAGGGGCCAAATCATTTTTCTGTAGACAGGAACAAAGAAAAGTTACTTTCGAGACTGGTACCGAAATCCAGTTCAAACTCGAAAGATAAGAAATATGACTGCATAGTTGCCAAGGTAACCTTAGATTGACTAGGTGGTCAGCCAATAGGAGAAAATTCCCCCTCCAGGAGGGAGGCGTGTTCATGGAGAGCTTATATTATCCTGAAACAGGAAGTAGCGTCAGACAATCTTGAGCAGAGCCACTATTCAGGTGAAGTAATGCCTCCATTGTCTCCTGAAATGCATTTCAGTACTTTGTTTTTGTAATACTTTAACTGTGGTGTATATTAAAACTCTCTTAAACTAAGGTGAAGTCTCCTGGTGTACCTGTCGATCCAAAACAACCCGGACAAAGGTATTTGTACCTTTGCAACACAGGGAACGAGCCTGACTTACTGCCGGCAATGCAGACCAAGCTCTGACACCGGTTGTACAGGGACCTAACAGCCCATATCAAAGGGCCTGGTACCCCATACTCCCGGAGTACCCCCCACAGGGCTCTGCCAGGGATGCGGTCTAATGCCTTCTCCAAGTCCACAAAGCACATGTAGACTGGTTGGGCAAACTCCCACACACCCTCCAGGACCGTGCTGAGGGTGTAGAGCTGGTCCAGTGTTCCACGACCAGGACGAAAACCGCACTGCTCCTCCTGAATCTGAGGTTCGACTATCCGACGGACCCTCCTCTCCAGAACCCCTGAATAGACTGTAGTGAACTAAGCCTCAGGTCAAATCTGGCCCTGAGGGCCTTCCTGGGACAAGAACTGTATTTCATTGATTTGAGTCCAGAAACACTAAATTAAGTTCATCCAGAGACTTTCTAAGTGTGTCCTGCACTGATCAATTGAAAGAACACTCTCTTTTTATTATCATTACTATTTTACAAATGTCTTGATAATCAAAGTGTGTTTAGTTCAAACCATTTTAAATGTTGAAGTGAACTACTCATTTTAAATCAACTGTGAAACAATATTAATGATTTTTAATCCTCATTCAAAGTAGAAATCTAGTTAATGTATGGTACAGAGTAATTATTCATTTTCTTGATCTTCTGTCTGAAATGAGCAAGTTGTAAGTCGGTCCAAGGTCGGAGACAAACGCAAACAAGTCTGTTGGAACGAACTGTCATGTTTTTAAATCCTCTCAGACATAAATAGAGAAGCTGGCACCTGTTTCCTCCCAACTCGCCTAAACATTTCTCTTGTCTGTCTCAAAAACATTTTCTGTCTGTTCCAAAACATTTTTCTGTTTTTCTGACTTCTAGTGACCTCTTACGTCACAAAAACACACCCCTTGTTGGCTCTTTCAGCCAATCAAGACTTCCCAAATGAACCGGAAACAGAACTCTTTAAATATCGACACTTCCTAGTTCCAACCAGGGCGGTGGGAGAGCAGTTCGGTTCGGAGGGCAGAACCGAACAGAAAAGTGCTGGAGAGAACAGGAGGTTCCAGACATGATCCGAAGTTCTTCCGAGTCTCGTGGGAATTATGAAATCTTCCACATCTGAGTGGAGCCTCTGACGGACTTACTCCTCATGTGAGTCCACCCGTGAGGTGAACGTGTGTCAAACGAAGTTCCGTCACTACTTCGGACGATTCACAGCTGTTCCTACGGAGACGCTGGAAAGGTGGCGTTAAATGGAACTCCGTACCAGTGGAGACATCTTCTACAGGTAAAGAGCCGATTTCCACTACCTAAGTGTACCGAGAGGAAGCTGGGATCTAATGGAGAGTGCCGTTCTGATACAGACACATATTCCCTCATCCATCCTTTCTCTCCATTTAAACTTCATTTCCCATCTTTAAAACTCTTCTATCTTGCCAGTAAATCATCCAGATATTTTCAGAAATGTCTGTTGTAGAGCTTGAACCCAGATACCATGGCCGTATGGTCTCTGATTGTAAAGCTAATTAATTAAGCTGTTATTGTAATCAATTTTGCCAAATTAATGTAAATGTTTGATGTTAAACTTTGATTCTGTTAATAAATGACCGCATTCATTTGATGGGTCAAAGAAAATTAACGTCTCACTTTACATTTAATCATTCAATGCACAATATTATTCAGTCCAGAAAAATGAAAGAATCCGTTTAACTTATGAATACATCACATGTATATGTTCATCTACAAGCCCTTACCAGGGAGGCTTAAGAGTGTGATCCCACTGTAGTTGGAACACACTCTACGGTCCCCCTTTTTGAATAGGGGGACCTCCTCCCACACCCGGGTTTTTGCCTCAATGACCACCCAAGCTGCATGCCGCTTGGACTGCCGGTACCCATCAGCTGATTCCAGGGTCCCACAGGCCAAAAAGTCCTGATAGGACTCCTTCAGCCTGACAACATCCCTCACTGCGCCCACAGCTCATATAAGCTGCCTCGACAATAGAGGCGCGGAACATGGCCCACTCGGACTCAATGTCAGGTGTAAAAATAATTCAGTCTATTTGGGCGACGTCCTTTTCCATGCTGCTGACTTCCAAGGGGCACTCCAAAACCTGCGAGACACTTTCCAGACTGTGCAGTGAGCAGGTCTGCAGTTCAGTCCAAAAATGTGCCACCTGTTCCATCGTGATATAATTTAGATGGTGTTAGTAGCATTGTCACATTTTTCTTCAAACTAGATTTCTTGGTGACAGGACTCGGTGAAGCTTCATCTACAGTATAGTCACTCGAGCTTGTTCATAAGCCATGTTCAGAGTATTTCCTGCACTTTCATGTGGTATGGAGATAGTAGTCTCCTGTAGCTGTATGAGGGACTTTCCTTTAGACCAGGGGTGTCAAACTTGTCGTGTTTTGAGGCTTAAGGATTCAAGCGACACGTTGTAGAGCAACTCCTTTATTCTAAATTCGCCGTTCATCTTTCACATCAGCCTAATGACTCTGTTCACCATCAACCTTCCTGTTGAGCCTTTCACAATAAAACAGGTTACGATAAAACATTGTACCACATCCCCCTTTCTTTGAAGACAACAGTCTCAAAAAAGAACATTTACTTCACTTCACAACAGCTTTTTTCTTTCTTTCTTTGAACCTATAACAGAACACTTTCTTTCTGCTTAACCTCTTTTTTTTTACATTTAAACCCCTATTTCTTTTATAAGTCCAGTCTTTGTGGTTTTATGACAATCTTG